CAATCCCTGACATTCTATGATTCTATGATTTTTGAAAACAAATTCTCCTGACTACTATCACTAAGGTGTACTGGTTTATACTGTGCCTTACAGATCATTTATTCCTCTACTCAAATTGTTGATCATTAAATATTCCAAGCAGGAGAGACTATTTTACAGAGTAATAGTGACAGAGAAAGCATACAGGGGGCATATTTCCTCTCTTGTTAAGTTCTGCTAAAGATGAGTCAATAAGCCAAATAAAAAAAAAAAATCAGAATTCCATTTGCTATCCCCGTTCATAACATGCAACTACAGCAGAAGAATGCACAGCAAACATTATGCATGTTCAAAATATCCACAAGAGGGATAGATCTATTAATATCACTTTAGATACAAGGAAGAAACATTAGAGCTTTAGATTTTCACATTTACTATGATTTTAATTTGTAAAGGTAGCCACATTATTTTAATGGTCTTGCATAGTGTACACACACAAAGTATATCAGACCACAACGAACACAAACATTTAATTAGTTGTAAACACTAGTGTGAAAAAAACTAAAATGTACTCTTCATTTGCTTTGAAGAGTAAGTACATTATGATCAAGTAAGAAACTGAGACAGCCAATACTGAATGTCCAGGTGACAAATGGATGTGCCCAGGTACTCTCTGGTCAGTTCACAGTTTGAGAAACAGTCAAGAACAGTTTGAGAAATGGGAACCATTAGGATCCACATATCCTCTGTGGGAAAAACACAGTTTAGTAACACAACAGGAGTTAAAAATTTTTGCTATTCAGCTCTTCTGGCAGTGATAATACAGCAGCAGGGTGAAATATTCTCATTTAACACAGTTCTGACAGCTCTGGAAAAGATATTTGAAAACTCTCCTGTGTTATATCAAGGACAGTCATTTCAGATTAATTGCGTGCTGGTTTGGGGTTGTTCTAGTTTGTCTGGGTTTTGTTGTGGCTTTTTTTTTGAGGGTGAGAGTGTTGTTTCTTTCTTAGTTTTAAGCATACAATAACACTTGCTGAAATACATAACAATATTAGTAACAAAGTATCTATAGTAATTTCCCACAAGTTTAAAGACATTATGACCTAACGTTCCCAGAAGACTCTTCAGCTATTCTTTAAAATATTCTATGTGGAACAAAAGTGCTAACTAACTTGCAAACTTTGCCACTGTGAGATACAATCAGAAAGCCCTTAGAAGCAGCAGCATCTGAATAAAAGAGATTAAGAGATCCACTTCCAAAAACCAGCTTTTTTGAGAGATAAAACTATTTAATTGCCATCTTTCAGGAAACAATGAAGAAGTGAGGTTCATTGTCAGAAGGCAATGAATCAAAAACAATTCTCAAATTACTATCACTTTTCTTATCATCTCCATCTCTATAAAGTAACATCTATAAGACAAGTTTGAGGCAGGAAGAATAGTACATTTCTGATAAATCATTTTGTCCTCTGTGATTCCAAAGGAAAAGAAGGATGCTGAATACATTTCTATTTTTACACACTCATCACCTAAAACTGAGCTTCTGAATCACTGTAATTATACTATCATCATATTATCAGCTGAGTACTATATTATTATATAGCATATTATGATACTAGTTATTATTACACTATTGTCTCAATCTATTTGGAACTAAAGGCATTCTTGTAATTTGGGAAGGTGCCAAGCGCCCAAGCAGCAAAGAGTATTCACCAAACTCCCCTCTGAGGAGGATGCTGTGTCCTCAACTTTTGCCTTATTTGACAAGACAAATTAGCCCTCTTCATATCAACACGGATGAGTGCTTCAAGAAAAACAAATAAACAACAACTACAGGAGTAAAACTGCCTGTATCCCATCATCTAGCACAGATCCAGGTATTTCAAAGAGTCAGTAAAAAGCACTTACCACACCGATTCCTTCAAAAGCAAATATTGCAGTCCCAAAAAACAGTGGGTATTTCTTCCAGCCAACCACAGGAGGCAGTTTTCGAGGATCTACTATATCCTGGAGAAAACAAAACAAAACGGCGCTAGGGAAATGAGCTGCTCCTACAGTTCTGACGGGCACATTATCATATAGGAAAGAAAACTCAGTATATCCTAACAGCCATGCATATGTTGCATTTTATACAATACATTGTATTTATAATCCCTGGTTTTCCTCCTTAACTTAGTCCTTTATATACATTTATAGTCGCCTTCCCACCCACACACAGACACCTGCAGATATACTTTTTCTAGGTTCATATTACTGACACTATTAATTTTCACATTTTAAGTATCACACACCAGTGTAGGAGTGAAAGTCAATTAAAACAAAAGGGAAAGCTCACACCTCAAGCTTAATCTTCTGCAAGTTTACACTATTCTCAGAGTATTGCATTTTCTTATCTGCTTTCATACTGCACAGATATTCCTCACAACCATAAGGGACAGGTAAAGAAAAGCTTTTTAACACAAGCTGAGTTTCTTTTAATGACTCTCCATATCCCCCAATCTCTCTATGTAAGTTCTCCTGCCTCCTTGCCCATCCAATACCTCTTGCTGACTTTTCTGTCTTCCTCCACACCCTCTGCCTCCCACTCATTTCATAACATCCCTGTGAAAGCTTTCTCAAACGATAGCAGCTCTCAACACTTACCTACAAGGTGAGTGAAACCGTGTCTATCACAGAATCACAAGATAGAAAAATATAGAGGCTTCTACATGCGATTTCTTTTCACCCATCAGTTTAATTTGTTCCATTAAGAAATGCCTCCAAACATGAAAAGCAGCAGCTACCCAGAAAATGCAGCAACTAATGAACTTCTCAGGAGACAGAATTCTGAAATATGTATTCATAAAGGTTGAGTCTGAAATTTTTACTGATTGTACTGGAGAAACACTTGAAATCAACCTTGCTGTTGTAACTGTTCTTCTGTTGCAACAGATTGACCATTGATTAAAACCTTGCAAATTCTGTGTGTAAGTAATAAAAATTCACATATTCTTCCACTCAAGGACTCCAAGTTGTTACAATACCTATTTTTGCTACCTTAAGTGCATCAATATTATCCTTTCTTTCAAAAGTACTGTAAAATTCCATGTTTAAAGCACGTCTCAAGTATCAAAGGCACCTCCTTAAATTAAGAGGCCTCAATAAAATACAAGATATTTCTGCCTTTCAGAAATTGTCAGTCAGCATATATCCATCAGAGACCAACTGCCACATGCAACAAATGCAGCTTACCACACTGAAAAAGAAAATAGCTTTTTAATACTCACTCTAACAACATACTGGTAAATGATCACCAGGCTGACAGCCATGGACAGATTGGCAAGCAACGAAAGCAAGGACAGGCTCTTAAGGTCACGAATAAAGACCAAGAGGATCAGGAAGGGCAGGAAACACAGCATGTATATTCGCAGATCCGTACTCCTCCTCTCGGAAGAACTGCTGGCGGCACTGACGTTTATGGGAGCAATCTTGTTTTCCAGAAATCCTTCATGGATCTGTAGGAAAAATCAAAACCAACAAAACATGTTAAACAGTGGTAGTAGCACTGAGTCTCTGTATATGGTCACATCACTCATTTCTAATAGGGGCATTTGTCCCTCTGCTTTACCCACCCAGTGTCGGGTGTTTCAGGACTGCCGGACTCTCAGTGCAGAGGGGAAGACAAGGCACTTTCCGCAAGTGTTTCATCTTCCAGACAAATTATGAAATAAGGGTCTAAAAGACCTGAAACCATCTTTATCCCACTACTGACTAAAGAGGAAATTCACATGAGCAGTTTAGGTAAAAGTCCTTTCAGAAAGGGAGAGTTTGGTAAAATGAACACAAGCGAGACAGATCTAGGCCTAAATATTAGAGTTTGAATTCTCCTAAAGAGAGTAAGGGGGTTAGATGAACATCTGCTATTGTACCTGAAATCAGTGCCTAATAACCTTATGCCTTTTCCATCCACATCGTAACAGCATACATACAAAATAACATTAAATATGGACCTACCTGTCTTTTCTTTTTCATTCTTCACTCTTATTAATCAATATTAACTTTAAAAACTATGAGAGAGTTGAGAAACCTGTACCCATCAAACTGACATGAATCAATGCCTACAGATAAAGGGCAGTACACAAAGTGAAAATGTGTTTGTTTTTTTGTATAAAACACTGCAATAGTTGCCTACAGTGCAATTCAGAAGACTGAGTTTGGCATTATTCACAACTCTTCTTTTGGAAAACTGCTAACGTGACCATAAGTGCCAAAATTTGCTTGGTAGAAACATATTCTGTGCTATGTGCACACCACGATCAAAACATCAAGTGCTTGGTTATTCTGCTTGCTGCAAAACAGCAACAGTTCAAATCCATTTGTTTTAAATTTTATGATGCCTTTTCCCTAGGAGTGTATCTTTTCCATTTCTTTTCCATTGCATTCACCATCTTACAAGCCAGCAAGTTACTGTGCTTAATCCGCTCACGCTGCAGAAAGCCTTTGGCTTGGTGACTAAAATAGATACCTAGGCCATGAAAAAATAAATAAAAAATTTGTTCCTTATAGCACAAAAAGACTTAAACAAAAATGTGAAATCAATACACAACAACTGAAAAAAATGCTGTAACTCCTAAGTACTGTCAGACAAACAACTACTATAGTCACAAAACTGCACTCAGAGGAAGACTGTATAGCCCAACAATCCCAGGAAGTGTTCAAGTGTAGCAATTTTTAAATATTATTATCCTTATCACACAGTTCGCAGTCTTGTCCCAAGACTCTCTGCAAGTGAAATACTATGATCCTAGATCCTGCCTCAAGAATGCAAACACTTTAAGCTGTTACAATAAAAGAGGCAGGCATTACTATTACAATGTAGGTTTTCTGTAGCCATGTCTGCCCAAAGCAAACACTACAGTTACCAGTACTGAACCATATTATTCTATAGGTCACAGCTACTCAGGACTATTAATTCTTTTACTTGGAGGACGAAGATGAAGTGGAGAAAGGAGGACAGGCTGGGGATACAGTAGGAAATCAAGGGATCATTTGCACTATGAGACTTCCATGAGGCAGAGGGAGTTAATTGCTAATGTAAAATCTAGTGTATGTAAAGTCATTCAAATTGGCAAGTTTGCCAAAAGTCAGGCTTCACAAGTCTAGGAGAAGAAAACATCCTGCACAGTTCACTTTACTTCCATTGTACAACCCACAAACTCAGGAAGACAGAATATTAAACTAAAACTCTTTTCTCTTTAACAAAAAAGCACTGGACAGATTTTTTCATTATGAAAAAGGGAAAGATTAAAGATAAATTCTGCAACCACATTTTCCAGAAATATCACTTTAAATGACAACAGAGGACATCAGTCATTACGGAAACACTGACCATTTCGACCTTGCAAGAATCTTAAGCGACACTTACAATTCATTTAACATCTGTTACTTTTCATTAAGATAATGTTTCTAGAAAGCTATGAAAAAGAGATAACTATATTTAGAACTAAATTCTGTTGGATTCATGCAGCTACAATAACTCCGTTTTGCCAAGCGATGTGTCAAACACTTAACCAAATTACTTCTGCAATGCCACATGAAGTAAAGCTCTCTGGAGAAACTCCCTGCTTTCCCATCACACCTAGAAATAGAGATAGAGAGCAAGCACTTTGCCAGCCTCTCACTTTAACCACAGTCTCGTGTGTTTACTCACTTGCATTCGTTTGCAGGTAGCCAGAGGTGCTCCCCACACAAGGACACATAAGAGGGTTTTCTAAGAATTAGCGTGACTTGAGCACGTAAGTCCCGTTGAAAACCCCAGCTACAATAAGTATTTAACCTTGTGTGCCTTCAATTTATATAAATGTCTGTAAGCCTGATGACATATTTTAAAAAATAAAAATCACTCCTAAAAAAATAACCACAGGCAAGATAACAGTTCGGGATCTAAAATATAAATTTCAAGCATTCAACCACTTCAGTTTTCTGTTAAGAGAAAGACATTCTATTTTTAGGCACAAACTCCAGTGAAAAGTTCCTAAAGTGAGAAATAGTTTTTCTTTTCTATTAACACCACCAAATTTCAGCTTGACATTCAACTGGAGTTTACTGGCTAATATGGCTGGAAAATGTACTATACAATATTCCATATTATTCAAAATTAGGTCTACTGTGATCAGCTATCCTGATGACAGGCTAAGATCAGATCATACCTCTATGCACTCTTTATAATTATCTGCCTTTTATTTTCACAAAAATATGAGGAAAGCGCAGAACATACTACAGCTGCACACAAACTCTTTGTGGTCATCATCACATGAATGAATGTTGATGCAGAATCAGCAAAACCCAGCCAACTAAAATCATCAGATTGATTCCTTAACCCTTGCTTCCCACCTCCACATTTCAGGTATCAGTTATATGCCTACAATAAACCAGAATTTTGCAGTCTGCTTTACCGTACTCTCTCTTCCCTGCCCCAGCATTCACTATAGGAAGGAAAAGGACACCACCAAACAGATTCTCAAAAATGTCATGACTTGCAGGAGCCTGCATCAGATCCTGTTCCTTGAAAGACAGTTTAAAGGTTTAAAGAAAGAAGTCAGGGCACCAAAGACATACTAGCTGGGAGGAAAATAAAAAAAAATAAAAAAAGATGAAATTCTGAACCTGTTCAGCACAGATTAACGTTCTGTGTAAACCAGACTTGCAGTCACACCTCAGTCCCAGCTATGAAAATTACCTAATTCTTGTATGCTCTTAACCCAAATGTCAGTTCCACAAAATTCACAAAATCTTCCTGCTGCCCCTTCCTCTCTTCCATGTCACTTCTCATTTGAGTCACATCACTTTGTCAAGTCTCCTATCTACTACTATTAAAAAACTTTTGAAAGTTTCAGCTTGACCACTGACTGACAAGTTGTTTTCATTATGTCCATTATACACAGGTTTTTGCATTACTAAAATACCTTGGGGGCAAGTTTTATGTACACATGCACACACATGTACATACCATGTAACTGATATTATGGACACAGTAATACTAACATATAAGCACAGAGGACACTTTATTCCCTTTTGTGCGTATGTATTCACCTTTAAATCCACTGGCAATACCACAGCTTCAAGAACATCGGTACCAACTGCGAGTTTAGGCAAGGGCACAGAAGTATCCACATTGCACAGGTGAATTTTGGAGAAGTAACAGAACCGTGATTCTGTACGTTGACTCAGAAGAGGCACACCTGCAAAAGGTAACCTTGTGGGAGAGCTAAACAAACATGCAAGAGTGACCGACGAGTTAGAAAGTAAAACGCAACAACTATAATAAGTAAGGACCGCTACTCTCTTAGAGCGGTGCCATTGGCTGTGGGAGATTTGGCAGCAAAGAGCAGCAGAGGAAAACTAAAGAAGATGAGATTATACTGATTTGTTCAGATACAGGCTAACATTAACATGACTTTAAAAGTGTTCTAATAATTTTTTAAAAAAAATCTAATAAGGTAACACTTAAAACTGTTCTAACAAGTAAGAAAATGCAAAGCAGCAGGAGTACTTTTAAAAAAAAACAAAAAAACCACTTTTTAATATGCTGTTTAGTTTACTGTAAGTTTACTGCTGATTGTGTTAGGACAGACCATGACTCACTGTCTGTCTAACCTAGTCTTCTAAATATTAAAATTAATATAATCTCAGATTCCTATTCTGGACAACAATCACTTTCGTTTTCCTGCTGTTCTCTGCTAAGGCATCGCTGCATGTGGCAGTCGTGCTGGGCCAAGGACTGACTGTCTGTCATAAAAATATCTTGTGCTGAGGGACATGGTTTAGTGGGATTGATAGGACTAGGACGGAGGTGGGACTCAATCTTGAAGGTCCCTTCCAACCAAAACTGTTCTAGGATCCTATGATTCGTTCTCTGATTCTATCATCCAGTGGCTATGTTGCTGGAAAACGCCTGCATATATATTCTTTTTATCTATCACAGAGCCCAGCGAATGTTGTTCAACTTCCAACGTGAGCAGACACTACCTGCAGTTTGTTCTATGCTTATGACTGTACCTGGAAGTCCCACAAACATCTCCCTAAACCACATGAGGAAATACCATTATACTTTTAGAAAAGCACTACAGAGCCACTGAAGTTACTGGCTCTAGTGACTACAAAGGCTAGTGAAGCCCTCATGCACGACGAGCGACTGCTGAAAAATTCAGTTCAGTTGATGAACACGCTTCTTATAAGAACTATTTCAGAAACAAGAAATAATTGTTTCCTCAGTCTCTTCAACCACAACTGTTATTTTCTTGCCTGTATCCTAAAACTTGCCCTTTCTGTCACACAGTCTACAGACTTTTCAACATCTAGTGGGATCAAAACAGTTGTCTTTGAGCTCATTGGTTCCTTGTAATTCCTTCCTTATTTAACTTGGAGTAACAGCCAGAAGAGACCACGGCCGGATCTGGCACAAAACCAGTACGTTATCAGGCAGATAAAGACTATATTGTAAACCTGTAATTTGGCATGAAAAGGCCAAAGAAACGGTTCCACAGTTCATGTAGTTCTAGTACTTCATTATCACTTAGTACTCAACTTTTCAAACTAGACACTATTCACACTTCTAATTTTATGTCCAACTACAATTTCCTAAGGGTTTCCTAAACTGTAATTCAACGCAGCCAATGTTGTGATAATCCCATAGACACTAATCAGAATAGATTTATCACCAGAAGCTAAAGCATTAGTGAGAAGGGTACATCAAACATTTTACAGAATTCAAAAGATTAAATAGCTAGACTCACATGCACCATGTGTGTCTAAATATTCACCTCAGAGTAATGTGGACTGATGAACATTCCAGAACCACGTTCAAATGCTTTGTCACACCTTAGTTCTCTGAAACAGTAAATAAAGTGAAGGAAGAGGCTCCTAAACTTGGGCTGGTACTAGTTTCAAATAAGAATATCAAAGAAAACATCTCAGTGGAAGCTCCTACTGATTCCAGTGGGCTTAATTTGCAGACATCAACATGCAAACACGATCAGAAAAGCAGAGAGTATAGCCCAGAGCTACTGGTCAAGAGCCGTATTAGTAACACTTTTACTATGTTTTTCCTTTATTTTAGCTCTCCATCCCACCGTTCTCTCCGTTCACCTGTCTCACTCTTTCACGAATGGAAAAATTAGTTAAAGCAGTGCAAATTCGTGTTCTTTGGTGCCCTCTACGGGACAGATTTCCGAAGCAGAAAACTGCCAAGAAGTAACCACAAACTTCTGCCTCCCAGAAGAGAGAGCCCAGAGCTATCTAAATGGAAATGGAATTTCTGAATTGCTGATGACTTTAATTCATTCACAGAGTATATGTCATGGGTCTTGGCAGTTACTGCTATTGCAGTAGTTGCTTTCCTGTAAGATCTTTTAACTCTCTTTCCAGAAAGCAGCAACAAATTTCCTGAAAAGATTTCTTCTTTTTTCCTTTTTTTTTAAATCCAAAATCTATAAAAGACAAGGTCAATAAGCGTTCAGTATTGTTTTTTGCTTAAGGTCAAAACACATATACAAGAACTGGTTGACTAGATATGTATCTGATAGGAAAAGCTTTGATTTTAACTTGCATTACAAAGGATGCAACAGAAGTTCCCCCCTCAGAAGTCCAGCAAAAAGACATCAGATGTAATATAGGATTTTTAGATATTGAGATAGATTGTGATAGTGGGACTGCAGTTTTTAAGGCTGGCAGTTTTTTTCTCTCCCAAGACCCAAGTTACAGTGTATCCAGCTTTCAAATGCACAAATTTACCTCATCGTGACAAGATCTTCATATACAGAACTGAGAATACTTTCTCAGCACAATATAAATACTCTTCTACAAGGGGAGGAAAAAAATATACTACCTTCTATGTACCAACTGCCCAGGGAGGACACTCTTCTTCCTAATTAACGTAAGCTAAACTATGCCACGCCATTCTACCTTGTGGGTAGAATAAGAGTTCCTATGGATGATTAATGCACAGTAACCTGTCACACCTTATTCCTCACCCACATCACTAATTACAGAAGCACATGTTTACACACAGGCTCAGATTCACCCTCATTATCTCTATGCCAAGCAACTAACCATAATATTCTGAGCAGAAAACACAGCAGGGTACATTGGCAGAGTCCTAGCATCTTAAAAAGCTCATGGAGGAGGGAGCACCAAGAGCCCAAAATGCCCATGGCTCCGATCTGAGCAGCCAACCTGCGCCAGGTGACCTTCCACGGACACCGGCTGAGAGACACCAACTGCCGGCTCCAGCTTCTGGGTGTGCAAAGAGGAAGGACCAGCAGACAGCAGTCCCCACCAACACAAAAATGTCCACTGATGAGAAAAAGAAGAGCTTAGAAGGACTGGAGAATGAGAAAAAACATGAATGAAAGCAGAGGCAGATACGGATTTGTTTGCTTTAGTTACTGACGGATGGTTGTGGGAGAGAAAAAGGATAACTGGGTTTTAGCGAAAGGTTTAGTGGCTCTTGGGAGGTGTATAGGCATTTGTGGTTGCTGGGGTTCTTTTGTAATTTTTGACTTTTTCATAAATACAGCATGATGAAATATTTGATTCTTAAGACATCCTTAAATAAATCAGCTTGCAAAAATGAATCACAGTATTTTTCTAATAATATCCCAGTGTTTTTCTAATACTTAACATCCAATCTATTTAAAAATCTGTAACAGATTTTAGTTATATGCATGTATAAGTTTCATGTATGTAGTATTGTACTATGCAATACTATATAAGCATAGTACAATACTATACACATATAATAGTACTTACAGTGAAACACATTAATTGTTACAGGGGCAGTGCTATTTAACATTTTCATTAATAACACAGAAGATGTAGTAAGCAGGGTCTAAACAGCAGTTCCAGATGGAAAGTAAAAAAATACTTAAAATCGAAATTAAAATGCAGGCTTGAGAACTGTTAAAAATCAATCCAGTAAGGAAAAATAAAGGATTCTATAGCTAAACAGAAAGAAGGATCAGAGGAATTGCCGAGAATGAAGTTTTGCAGTCAAGGATCAAGAGACCATAGCAGACCACAAATTGATCATGAGTTAGCAATGACATGCTCCTGCAAAATGACCATTATACTGAGGTGTGAAGTCTGGAACGTGATCTACAAGACCTGTGAAATAACCTTTCAGCTCTGATAGTCAAAACCAAAACTTCCACTGGAGTAGCATAACCAGTCTCAGGGATAAACTCACAAAAATTAGTGAGATGTGATCAACTGAAGAGCATTCACAGAAAAGCAAGAAGAATTATTAGTGTCTATCGTGCCTTCCCTGTATTAGGTGGAAATAGTAGACATTCACAAATAAAAGGTATCCACAAATGGAAAAAAAATAAATTACTTATCAGTAGAACATGAAATAAAGGACTCAACATGGCGATAAGAAATTTTAAGCTTCTACAAAGAAACAGTTGTCTAACAGATTAGAAAGCATTGAAACTGAGTACTGAGGAGGCTGTGGAAATGTTAATCTTAGGCATTTTTAAGAATTAAAGAAAAAATCAGGATATGTTTAGATACAATGGATTCTGTAGCAGATGGAACCATACTAGAAAATGGAAGGGACTGAACAAAACCAAAGAAAGACTCCAGTGACATAAAAAGGATAAGACTTGTCCATGAAGTCAAGAATAAAAAAAATTCAGCATAAGGCCTAGCGAAAAAAAAAAATAAAATTCAGAGGTAACTGGCTCCTAAATCAGTTTCAGTCTCATTTTCTATCATTTCCACAATTAATTTCTTAATTCAAGAAACAAATCGGGGGAAATGAAGCCACAAACACTCACACAAGATCCAAATTCAGTTCACCTTGCACAGTGCTCCTTTTTATCAAAGGGTGTTTTGTGAGAACCACAGTAGAGCCCATTCTGTACCTCTCTCAGCTTCACATTTTACAAATAGTTCTGTTGGACTTTATAAGAATAGGAAATATAAGTGAGGCAAAAATTAATCTAAAGCTATAACTGTTTCCATACAGTAACATTACTCACTTGTTTCACATTTTCTGCCAAGAACACAACATAAACGCTACAAAAGCCCAGCTGTGTTATCACTAGGAAAAAGTCGACGATAGACCTGAGGAAGGAAAAAAAAGCATACATTATACTTAAGATTCAAACAATTAACCTATTTCTACTTGATAAGCAATTACAGTAGTCAAAATGCTACTTTCAAATTCCACATTAATTTCACAAGCACTGCAATACAGGTTCGTCTTATGACAAAACAGTGTGAGTTTTTATGTGGTTGTTTTTTAAGGTAACATTAAATAGGCATCAAAGCTTCTTAAAAAAAAAAGGTAAATATTTTAAAGTGGGATAAAATAAAATTCAAAGACTTAATGCTGTACAAATATAAAGAGACATACATATTCAACATACATATAAATTCTGCTGGTGTCAGTTAGCCCCTAACACAGCAGTTTTGCCCCAGGACCAGAGCTGAAATATCTCCTGGTCTTAGAGGTTTCATCATTTCAAGAGGACAAACATTTTCTCATCTTACTAAGTGGGTCTACACCACTGTATCCAAACACACATTCAGACACTGCATCTCATGGAAAAAAAACCCTCTATACTATGGTTCAGATTGCTGTTGAAAAATGTTACACATAATGGTGGCCTGAAGACATTGCTGTAATGAAAATCTTTGCTGGAGTCAGGTACGCAGCACAGATCTGCCTCAGAGAATGGATTTGCTGCAGCACAGTGTCTCTGCAAATCAAATTGCCATTTGTGGCTTGTAACTCTGGAGCATTAGAGAATTGTCATTATATGTCACTACAAACCAATTTTCCCTCTAATGGAGCTCTACTTCATTCTTACAAAGTCATCACAGGAGACCTTAAAAAGAACCAGCTCACCTTTTTCTTATTTGAAACAAAACAGTAGCCAAAACACATGATATAAAATGCTGCAGAATCAAAAAAAATATAGGAGTGAGGAAAAAAACCACTTTAGCGCTGAACAACATGTCTAAGTTTTTTGAATTGCACCCCTGCACAGTCATACCATATCTCCACAAACAGCAACAAATGGCAAAAAAAAAAGGTCTTTTAAAAAAGTGGGATAAAATATAAAGAAACAAGCAGCTATTAACACCTGCGTGTCATTATTGCACATTATAGTAAATATTTCTCTATTATCTGAATGTTATCTTTAAACAGGAATCAATTAACTGCTTTGCTTCCTTTCAGAATAAATATATTGCAGTAATTAACATTTGCAGTGTCAACCTGCTCAAAGAGTGCACTCTGATGCAGAGAAATGTGTTTACAGGAAGAGAATGAAAACTTCAATTACTTCACCGCATTACACAATCATCATCATGGCCGGGCTTCGCGAATGAAGATAGGGGAAGGGCTCTACCCACGCTTGCTCCAAGTGCGCTGATGGCTAAAAAGGCCGATGCGGGACAGGCAAGTCCCATTGCAAAAGGCACAGCGGAAAGTCTCCTCAGGTGGTATTGGCCTGAACTGCCTGCAGGCAGGGTTGGGTCTGCGGCCTCCTGTGCACCTCATCACCTGCCGTTCAGTCCCTCGCCTGTCGCTACAGGACTTTACGCAGGTGGGTGTAACCTTCAAGCCAATACAGAAGGCATTTCTGGTTTTACCACATCTCTTCCTGTACTACCAGACAGAATTCTTTTCCTCATAGGTCTTGTAAATCTGAAGATTCAAATGCCTAACAGAGACACGCTCCTCAATCCTCCCATGTCACTACTACCAGTTGGCTGTAAGAAATAACACATGACACTGCATAAAAATATTTCAAGCACAGAGAACACACTCTTAAAGGCAGTAATACCTTAGTAAAAAGGAAAGCTCCTAAGCATTCCAAGTGTAGCCATTGATTATAATAACATATCTATTCGATTAAATTCCAGTGCTAACTTACCCTCCCCAAGAAGCTCGTTTCTGAAGAGTAGCCAGAGGCCCCGCTTCCATGGCGTAACTAACTGTATCGCTGTACCCCAGCGAGGATTTTTTCATCCTGAAATCAAAGAGTGAAGAAAGAACTGAATTACTAGAAATTATGAGGGCCTAGATCCCTACTTTGAAAATGCTGGTGGCCTCCCAGGCTTAGAGTATGTAATCACCTGTGGCACCAGTCTTCATCTGCAGAATTTTAGGTCTGGTTTGGGTGTCTTTACCCCAGGAAGGGCTATTCGGCACTCTACAAGCCCATGAACCACAATGCTGCTTTCCTCTAATTCCACACTACTAAATCAGTTTCTTAACAGAACAACTTTCTTGATAAATTAATCCACCTTATAGTATCAGCTTAAGAAATTCAACTCAAACATAAAAGTCCCAAAGAACTCTAACAGGATTTAACAGATTTTCCCGGACAAGCAGTCAGTAGCAGTTGTTTCAGTGATCTAAGCTTTATGTATGTATTCAAAGGCCATTCAAAACTAGAGAAGAAAAAGCAAAGCATTGAGGAATGACAGGAT